CAACCTGTCCACCTTCCTCATCCCGCGCCGCTACATCCCGCCGCTGTCCGAAGGCATGCGCTCGCGCCTCTCGGTGGCGCCGCCGCCCCCGCCGCCCACCGGCGACGACGAAGACGACAACGACGACACTCCGCTCGACGCCCGATGCCCCGCCAACTCCACCGCCGCCGCTGCCACCGCCGCCGCCCCGGAGCCCTAATTCTAGCCCACGTAACTTGACGTCGCTCGCTCAACGCCAATGGTACTTGACAACGCCCTCCAAACCAATGGTGTAGCCCGAGGAGAAGAAAGATAAATTTCTCTTTGGATTTTCGCGAAAAAGCCCCTTAATTGTTATGATAATTATTAATTAATAAATCAAATCCAAGGGAACCTTGATGATTAGAATTTCAATAATTCCACTTGTTGGACTGTCCGGGGGGGGGGAGGGTCGGGAGGTCTGCAGCAGCTCTGTTAAATACGTTTCTGTGACTCCAATTAATTCCAGGCGAATAACGGAACGAGACTTTACAATGGGTCAAGTACCGTGCTCAATATTTCATTCATTTTGGTCCCTTCATCTCTTCTTGCACACATAAAAAATACATTATCTACACTCTCATACCGTCGGAAGACAAATCGGAGGCCTAGAGCGCGCTCCGTCGCGCTCACTCAACTGCCCACCAAGCCAATGGCGTAGGCCGATGAGGAGAAAGTTAAATTTCTCTTTGGATTTTCGAGAAAAAGCCCCTTAAATGTTATGATAATTATTAATAAATAAATGAAATCCAGGGGAATCTTGATGATTAGCATCTCAATAATTTCACTTGTTGGACTGTCCGGGGGGGGGGGGGTCGGGAGGTCTGTAGCAGCTCTGTTAAATACGTTTCTGTGACTCCAATTAATTCCAGGCGAATAACGGAACGAGACTTTACAATGGGTCAAGTACCGTGTCAATATTTCATTCATTTTGGTCCCTTCATCTCTTCTTGCACACATAAAAATACATGAACTACACTCTCATACTGTCGGAAGACAAAACGTTAGCTTAGAGTGAACAACTCCGGCTGAAGTGGTGTGCCGCAGCGGAAGGGAAATACCTACAAGCTGACGTGTTGGTCAACATCGGATTTCACGTTCTAGTGGAGAACAAACACCACCAACCCCACCTTTCGATATATAACAATCACTTCACTTACGGGATTAATTGACGTTAATAGTTGACGCGGTAGGAAACAACACTCGAAGTTTTCTAAATTGTATTGACAACAATATATAATGAGTGAAACTTCTAATATTCTAATATTAGAAAATTCTAATATCGATGTGCTGAAACTTTCCATAGTTCAAAATTTTATTTTTTTAAATTTAATATCTGTGATAATTAGGTTACACATTTTTTTTTATCTAAACGCGATGTCTTTCCTTTTAAATGTATATCTGATGGATTTAGGAAGATAATGAAGGGGGTTATACGTTGGTAGGTCTTCATGCCTGATTACGAATCGCCTTTGTTTATAGAATTTCCAACTACTACAACTCCTGCCGTTACGTTCTGGCTACGCCACTGCATCCTCCTGCCTGGCGCATGTGTGGGAATTATACCTGTTATACCTGTTAAACAAGTAAATCATGTTGAGTTCACGTATTCATTAATTGAAATCAAGAATCTCTTGTGTCGAATGGGTCATATATACTATAATTATAAATCGAACGTACTACGACAAATCATTTTTGTGATATAATTTTACTAGAAATAAATAAAATGTTTCACTTTTATCGACTTTTACTCTTCTTGACTTTCCTATCTTCTCTTGAAAAGCAATTCTTATTTATGTCGAGAAGACCTAGTTTGATCAGAACTAGAAAAATCTTGAGTTTACAAAAAAACGAGACAAAGGTACACTTCTAAAAGGGACTTGACGCCTCGTGTGTCCATCTCCGATATTACACAGACTTTCGTGTTTTTTGTTCTCAATTTAAAGCATGTTTTTATTGTTTGATTAAATATTATTTTCTTGTAAATTTGACTAATTAAAAAGGAATTTTGAAACCATATATTTTAAATTAAATCTTCCACAGCTATGAAGGATTTCTAATTTTCCCCAGAAAGAATATGCACGTTCCAGACATAGTTGCCAGGCATTCGTTTTCTTGCGTCGTTAAGTTACGTGGAGCTGAGATTAGAAGGAAATTGGAGTGGAAGAGTAAAATATGTTTTGCTGAGTCTCTTGGACAGTAGCAATCTAGCGCAGGTGTATGCATATTTATAAAATACAAGGATTTCTAAAATATCGCAATGAAACCGTTGAAATTAAATTTCATATTTCTTCTGTGAAAAACTGGGAAGAAGAAGAATTGAATGATCTAAAAACTACATTTTAGCCCAAAAATAAATGTTGAGTTGTAGTACTTCAAAGTACATATACACATGAAACCTGCAATTAGGTTGTTGAAATTGTATTGTATACATTGTCTATGCACAGGATAAGTGGCATATACAGTTTTTGTATGAGAATGTTCTTTGTCTGTGCAAAACCATTTATTTTGTCGCGTCCAAAGACAGTTTAAAAATGTATACTAATAACAATGTACTATTTTCTAAATGTAATTCTTCACTTGACTGAAGGATGACGACTTTTGAGATGTATCAGTTTTTCTTGAGCGTCGACTATATGTACGAGCATACACACTTGACTCTCAGCCATTACATGCTTATTGTTTTGAAGCAATCAACATTGTTATATGAAACATTATTATGAAAAAAATAATTATACTATGTGATTGAAAACGTAAAAAATAAATATAATTCAAGCATTTTTAATCATATTGGATTTGCCTAATATTTTTTTGTTTTCCACAGACTATGGCAAGGTTATTACATTTATATTATAAACATAACATCATTTTTCTTCGCTTGTGAGTCAATTCGTCAGCAAAGGCCAGTGACACAACATTAACTCGGCCGATGCCTCAACGCACATCACAGTTGTGTCTCAGTGGCACAACGCCAGCTCGCTAGTTTTCACCTACGTAGCGGTTAGTGTTGAGCAGTGAGCGCTGGACGATAATTGAAACCAAGATGCATCTGAAAACTACTATGCACCAGACTGTTGACGTGCACTATTTTCTGCTCTCTTATTCGGTCTGACAGCAAACATCGCGCAAGGCACGTTTGGGTCTCTGAGTAATTTATTGTGTGAAACTAGACTCTAAAGAGGAGCGTATAAAGCAATTTGTTTCTCATTAGAATCGTCTGCAGCCTGATTCCAGACCCCAAGAGATGAACATAGTGTCTGAGGATGCTCTTATCGCTTTCAGTCAGTGAGCAACCAACAAATGGCAGTTTCAGTCACACGATGT